GGGCGCGCCCTGTGGGGGGGGGGGGGGGGTCACCCTGGCAGGGGGATTGGGGCATTTCCCCCTCCCTCCGGACTCACCCTGGGATGGGGAAGGTTTTGATGATGTGTCCCATAGGCATCCCTGCCCCACACATCCCTATTCCCCACTATTTCCCTGCAGAAACACCCACCCCTTCTCCCTGCTCCTCCCCCCGCCCCCCTCAAAAAACCCAGTCTTTTTCTAACCTGATAGATTTATTGAAAAATTAAAAGCACAAGCTCTGTAGATATAAATACGACGTTGCCAGCGATTTACAAGGCCTCCGGTTGCTCTCTCTCTGCAGCTCTGCCCGTGCCACCCGACCAGCACCGACCACTCAAAAAGCCTCCCAGCCTGAGCCACGGGCCCCCCCCCCTGCTCTGCATGTGGCACTCAAGTGACAGTGGGGACACCCAGACCTCTGCTGTCCTCCTGCCCTGCTCCCCAGCCCGGCTGAGAGGGAGAGGGTGTCCCCAAAGGGCAACCCCCCCCAACCCCAGAGAGGACAGGGATGAAGACTTCCAAGGATGTGCATCGATTTCTGCCTGTTCTCAGCCCGTCCTACCCAGGCAGCGAGAGTCTGTGGTGGCTGTGGGGACACGTAGGGACATTTGGGGACAAGACGAGGGTGTCTGCACGTGCGGGTGAGGGCTCTGCATGGCGGGGTGCTGCTTTCACACCTCGGCGCTGCCTTTCATCCCCATTCGGGTGCTCCTCATCCTAAGTCAGGCTCCCCGACAAACCCGTCAGGGCTCCTAAAGGGCCACGTTGAATTCTGTGACCAAGAAATCAATGTAGTCCTTTTCCTTCAGCTTAAAGGCCTCAGCGATGATCCGGGCAGCTTCCCGGTGCTCCTTGCCCCGTAACCCCGTGCCGTTCACTTCCAAAATGACGTGGCCAACCTTCAGCTTCCCACAGTTGTGTGCTGAGCCCCCACGCTGCGGGAGAGAGGGGTGGGATACAGGCAGTCTGGGGAAAATTGGGAGCGTTTTGCACCCGTCGTGTTCACCCTGACCTGGCATTTCACGGTTTGGAAAGAGGGGATGGACTTGGCTTCCCTCCTGCCTGCTGATGGTGCAATGATGGCCAAGACAAACTCTGCTTTTCTTTTGCTGTAAAGAACTTGAATTTTGCCCCAAGTCAAGAGCAGAGGAGCAGATTAGGGGAGGCAGCTCCACCAGGCTCAGTTCTGCAGCTTTCCTCCATCACTCCCCCTCCTCAGCCTTCTAGCTGAGCAGGCAAAAAGGGAGTTTCCAGACATCTGGAGACACCAGCCAAGCTTTTGGGGCTGCCCAGAGTCTGTCTGAAATGTCTGCAGAAAATCCTGGGTTCCCAGGACGTGGATTATTCTAGTGGGAGGCGTCCTTGCCCATGCAGTGGGGTTGGAACTAGATGATCTTTTAAGATCCCACGGCCCTGCTGGGGTCACCACCGCCCCATCCCACTGGTGGGAATCACCCATCAGGAGAGAAGTTTGATACAATTTTCACTGGCCCAGGTTGCCCAGGGAAGCTGTGGCTGCCCCATCCCTGGCAGTGTTGAAGGGCAGGTTGGATGGGGCTTGGAGCAACCTGGGCTGGTGGGAGGTGTCCCTGCCCGTGCAGGGGGTGGGACTGGATGATCTTTAGGATCCCTTCCAAGTCAAGCCATTCCATGACTCTGTGCTTCTCCACAGGATATGAAAGCAACTCTCAGCAACCCCCTCAGCAGCAGAACGATGCCTCTAACCTCTGGGGAGACACAGGGCTATGGGGAAGGAAAGCACATCCCCAAAATGCTCCCTGGGACGCACAGGCTTTAGCTGGAGAGGGTTTGATGTCCGGGGAGAAGATGAGTGGGATATAAGCACCGAGTTCTTCCCACTCCCAGCCCGCCCTACCTGGATGGTGACGATGCGGGGCAGCGGCTGCCGCGTGTTGGCTCCCCCCTCGATGGCGATTCCCAGGGTGGGCGCGCTCTTGGACACCCGGATCAGGCAGGAGGTGGGCTCCAGGAGTCCTGGCTGCAGGGAGAGATGGCAGCACTGCTGAGGGAAGCCGGGCACTGCTGCGTTTCCCCTCGGCTGGGAACTCTGTCACAGGCAGGTTCAACCCGCTGCAGGTTTCCAAAGCAGAGGGGCAGACACGCTGCCTGCAGCTGCTCTCTGGCTCCCAGCATCCAAGATCCCAATCCTGTGCAGGTCTGGGAGGGCTTGGGGAGGAGTGGAGCAGCTCCCCGACTGCCTGCCTACAGCTCTCCACCAACAGAATACCCTCCAATTTAGTTCTGATACCGCATTCCCTCCTGGGCAACAGGGGACTTCACTCATGGGACACTGTGCCCTGCAGATGTCCCTAAGAACTAGGAACTCTGCCATCTGTTGGAGAAAAGAAGGTTCCAGGGAGACCCCACAGCCACCTTCCAGTGTCCAAAGGGGCTACAGGAAAGCTGGGAAGGGAGTTTGGACAAGGGCTTGTAGTGAGAGGATGAGGCAGAACAGTTTTAAGTGAAAGAGGGGAGACTTAGATGAGATAAATAGAAAGAAATTATTCACTACGAGTGAGGGTGGTGAGAGCCTGGCCCAGGTTGCCCAGGGAAGCTGTGGCTGCCCCATCCCTGGCAGTGTTGAAGGGCAGGTTGGATGGGGCTTGGAGCAGCCTGGGCTGGTGGGAGGTGTCCCTGCCCATGCAGGGGGTTGGAACTGGATGATCTTTAAGGTCCCTTCCAACCCAAACTGTTCTATGATTCTATGACACAATCTCCCAAGTAGCTGCTTGCTGGAGCTAGGAGGGACCAGATTTCCCCAGGGTGGAGTGAATCAGCCCTACAGTGCCCCTTGCTCAGCTGCTCCTGCTCCCTTCCCCACCTGACACAGCTTACGGAACAGGAGGGCAACCAACCCACCAAAGCACGAAAGAAGGGTCCCTGCCAGGTGCCGGGAGGGCAGCACTGCCCCTTGGCAGCCCCGGGTGCCCACCTCCCCATATCATCAGCACCCCGAGGCCCCCAGCCTCACCGGCTTGGAAGCCCCTTCTGCCACCCCCTCGCTCCTGGTGGCCTCCTTGAGGCTGCGGCTTTTCCCAGGGCCCGGCTGCCCGGCCCTTTCCTTTCTCGCCCCCCCCCCC